CGTTGGTTCACCCTCCAATGGCCGCCGCGGCCGGCGCGCTGCGGCCGGCGCACCGCGCTGATCCGATGGCAGGAGCCAGGAGCCAGGTGCTTTTCCTGGTCTCCCATGGGGTGCAGGGCCCAAGCACCTGGGCCATCCTCCACTGCACTCCCTGGCCACAGCAGAGGGCTGGCCTGGAAGAGGGGCAACCGGGACAGAATCCAGCGCCCCGACCGGGACTAGAACCCGGTGTGCCGGCGCCGCTAGGCGGAGGATTAGCCTAGTGAGCCGTGGCGCCGGCCCCAAGCATTGACTTTTAAGAGTGAAAGATAACCAACATGTGCATCTCTAAGAGACTAGTTAAGTCATTTATGATGTTTATAAATGCAATGGAATTCCATGCAGTTGTCAAAATATTAGCAAGGGGCCGGCGCCGCGGCTCACTAGGCTAATCCTCCGCCTAGCGGCGCCGGCACACCGGGTTCTAGTCCCGGTCGGGGCGCCGGATTCTGTCCCGGTTGCCCCTCTTCCAGGCCAGCCCTCTGCTGTGGCCAGGGAGTGCAGTGGAGGATGGCCCAGGTGCTTGGGCCCTGCACCCCATGGGAGACCAGGAAAAGCACCTGGCTCCTGGCTCCTGCCATCGGATCAGCGCGGTGCGCCGGCCGCAGCGCGCCGGCCGCGGCGGCCATTGGAGGGTGAACCAACGGCAAAAGGAAGACCTTTCTCTCTGTCTCTCTCTCTCACTGTCCACTCTGCCTGTCAAAAAAAAAAAAAAAAAAATATTAGCAAGGTGAATCCGTATGTCCGAGACTTTGAACTTTCCAAAAGTTTACACAGACATACACACACACACACACACACACACACAATGTATACGAGGGTACTTGAAAAAGTTCATGAAAAGTGGAATTAAAAGATAAGTTTAGGCCTTTTAACCTAGTGGTTAAGACACCTGTGCCCCATGCTGGAGAGCCTGGGTTCGATTCCCTGCTCTGGCTATTGATTCCAGATCTGCTAAGGCAGACCCTAGGAAGCAGTGGTGATGGCTTAAGTGGTGATGTTCCTGCTACATGTGTGGGAGATCTGTGGGAGGCTTGGGTTCCAGTGCCTGGCTCCAGTCCCTGCCCAGCCTGGCCCAACCCCAGCTATTGTAGGCATTTGGGAAGCGAAGCAGCAGATGGAAGCTCTGGCTGGCTGGCTCTTTCTTTGTCCCTCTGCCTCTCAGATAAACAAAAAAAAATTTTAACATAAGTCTATTTTGGACCAAAAATTATTTTCAGGGGCTGACGCTGTGGCACCATCAGCTAAGCTACCATCTGCTGTGTCGGTATCCCGTATAGGCGCCAGTTCATGTCCTGGCTGCTCCACTTCCAATCCAGCTCCCTGCTAACGCATCTGGAAAACAGCGGAAGATGGCCCAAATAACTGGACTCCTTCCACCCACATGGGAGGCCTGGAAGAAGCTCCTGCCTCCTGGCTTTGACTTGGCCCAACCCTGGCCATTGTGGCCATTTGGAGAGTGAACCAGCGGATGGAAGATATCTCTCTCTGTAACTCTGTCTTTCAAATAAATAAATAAGAAGGGCTCTTCAAAGAGTGTTTGAAACATGCATATTACAAAAAACTATACAAATATTTCAAAACTTTTGCACCAAATAAATTTATTTTTAAATCTCATTTCCCACAGACTTTTGAAAAGTATTTTCATAGATATTATGATCTCATTTATATAGAATGATATGTAAATATATAATATAGTATGTCACTTTATATTATATAAAGTTATATTTTTAAATATTGGTAACTAAAGATGGCTGTGAAGATAAATACTATAAACATATATATAAGTGCACACACAGCACATCGAAAAAATACTCACCAAAATGCCAATAATGGCAAGCCATCAGTGACAGAGTCTGAATTATTTTTTCATTTTCTTTTTAGTAGTTTTCTGTGTTCTTCAAAATTTCCACAATAAGCATGTACAATTTTAATGAAGCAATTTATTTTTTAAAAAGATTTTATTTGTTTATTCGAGAGGTAGAGTTACAGTGAGAGGGAGAGACAGAGAGAAAGGTCATCCATCCACTGGTTCACTCCCCGAATGGCCGCAATGGCTGGAGCTGAGCCGATCCGAAGGATCGAGGTGCTTCTTCCAGGTCTCCCACGCGGGCACAGGGGCCCAAGCACTTGGACCATCCTCCACTGCTTTCCCAGGCCGTAGCAGGGAGCTGGATCAGAAGAGGAGCAGCCGGGACTAGAACCAGCACCCATGTGGGATGCCGGCACAACAGGTGGAGGATTAACCTACTGTGCCACAGCGCCAGCCCCATCAATTTATTTAAAATAATAATAATAATAACTCTACAGGCGGCTTCAGAAGGAACCCTTGCTGGTGGTGTGCTGAGGGGACTGTAGCTGAGCGGAGGTGAGGGGGTGACTCCACACGCCCATGCCCTCCCCGAGTCTGAGACGGGACCCCCTCTGTAGCTGAGCAGCCCCCTGCACAACGAGTGGGCCCCTCATTCAGAAGCCAGCAAGGATTTCAAGATGGTGACAACACAGCGTGTAGCCCTGTGCAGGCTCCCCTCGGCTTGTGAGCCGGCTGGGGGTGGGGTGGCCCTGCCTGGCAAGCCCATCTGAGATAATTACACAGCACCTGCTGTCAGAGAGGCCAGGAAAATCAGTCAAGGGGGAGCTGATCTGGGCCCCGCGACGCCAGGTCCCGAGTGAGAAATGGATCCCCACAGACCCCTTCTCTGGACCGCAGTCTCCCTGGAGCAAACCACATGAATGTTCACGCGTCTGAACCCCTGGCTCCTGAGACCCTGAAGACCCAGCCACAGGCTCTGAGGGCTGGGCAAGCCAGGAGGGCCTTCAGTTCATGCAGGAAGGCAAGCCTAGAGGGCTGCCTGTTGGAGGTGGCAACTGCCTGCTGTGTAGAATCCCCTGGCTTGACCCAAAGAAGCTTCTCCTGAGACCTCATGCTACCCTGGCCTGCCACCCTCCCACTGTGATGTGTGTGTGTGCGCAGGCCATCCCTCCAACACACAGCAGTTGGGCTGCCTCACGGGAACCTCCTCCTGGGCCTTCCTCCCCCACGCCTCCCGGCTCCTGGGCATCACAAAGACAGCCTGTGTTGGGGCCCGGCAGGCGCTGACGGTGCAGACAGCCTACACGTCCCGTCGGCCACATGGCACAAAGACTGGTCTGTGTGGCCCGGCCTGGTGGGCCCACGGGCTCCCTCCCTCTGCCAGGCACTGGGGTTGAATCATCAGAACTTCCCAGGAGGCTGCCGGCCCACAAGGGCCCTGTGGGATCCCAGTGTGGCCAGCAACTAGTGGCCGCCCCTGCGCTGACCGGCAGCCTCTGTAAGGGCCAGAGCAGCAGCTGCCCATCAAGGTCTCAGCCACCACACCCTGCAGCCCACCGGGAATGGGGCATCTGCAGTAGCCCAGGCCCTCGATGTTAGAGTCCGTCTCCTATCGGTCTCAGCCCCCACCCCCCCACCCCCCGCAGCCCTGGGGTCCCCATTGGCCTTTGTGCTCTCCCGGGAGATCTGGGACCCGGCTGCACCTGGACATCCCTCCCCAAGGAATTGCCCACCGTTCCTCCTGCTGTGGGCTCTGTGGTTTGATGGCCCCCAGGGTCCACTGGAATTGGAAACTCGTGGCCAGAGTGGAGAATCTTTGAGGCGTGCAGCCTCGAGTGAGGAGTGGGGCCGTTGGAGGCGTGCTCTGGGAAGGGAGCCCTCATGGGACCCCTTGCCTGGAGCCCTAGGGCTTTTGTAGAAGCAGCCAGCCTGGCCCCTCCCTCTGGGGGTCCCGGCAGATCCTACCAGGTACTTTGCCCAGGCACCTGTTGGATTCAGCCGCTAGGAGACCCTGGCCGGAGGCTGGGGGTGAGGAGAGAGGATGCAGAGTTTTACGACCCCTCTCCCCTCTCTGGTCTGGCAGGGGTGCCAGGCAGGTTCCCCTCCAGGCTGCCCCTCTCACCAGCACCGGGAAACAGTCTCTCACCCCCAGCTCTTCAGGCGGAAGCTGGAAGGGCTCCCCCATGCTGCTAGTGCCTGGTGAGCCGCCACACCCCTGGGGTCCCCAAGCTCTACCCACTTGGCTGTGAGCGGCCCCTCTGTTAAGATAACCTCCTTAGGAATCCCCTCGGAGCTGCGGCTTTGCTTCCTGCCCTGAGCCTGAGGATCACCACCAAGTGGCCCCCAGTGGTGGCCGGGCCAGGGGGAGTGCCCAGTGGTTTCCAATCTGGGTCAGAGGGGCTCCGTTTGTATCAGCCTCCTTGACTTCCAAGGTGCTCCACCGCTCTCTGCTTTTGGTTTCTGGACCGTGAGAACTCCCCAGGGCCAACATCAGACCCCTCCTCAGCCCAAGGGTTTCTCAGAGGGCTTTTTGCTCCTGATAAGAATGAGGAAGTGGGGGCAGGTTCTCATGGCTGATTCCTTTTGTCTCTTGTCTGGTTCCTCCCTCTGCTGCACCACTCATGTGGCTGAAGCCTGCTCCCCTCAGCTCATGAGGTCATACCCTAAAGGAATAGCCTTTATTCCCCCTTCCACAACGGTGGGCCCGCCCTTGCCTAGTTCCTTACTGCAGTACGCAGATGTGCGTGTTCTACCGATACTGATCGTGTTGACTCACTCCTGAGCCTGGGTTGTTTTCTTAGTAAATCGCTGGAGTTTGGAGCACACGCCCCTCCCCGGAATCATGTCCCAGGATCCCTTTGGAAGCAGGGAATGTGCTGCTAACGCAACGTCCCTATCTCTTTCCTGCACCTCAACCCTTGATCTGGCTTCCACCTGAGGCTCCCAACAGAGGCAAGTACAGACCTGGCATCATCTCTCTCTCATTCTCGCTCTCACTCTCGTTCTGTGTTAACTTATTCTGAGATCCCAGAGGCGGCCCTTTGGGAATGAAGCCATCCTCCCATGGGTCCGTCCACTCCATGGACACTCCCACGGCAGGGAGACACAAAGCCGCTCTTCTCCAAAGACCAGCGCTGCTGTTTGAAGTTCAAGCGACAGCAATTTCAGTCTTTCCCAAGGCCTTCAAAAGAGGAAGTGGACGCGAGAGCTTTCAACAATGCTGTTCAAAACACGAGTTTGAACCTCACATCGTGTCAGCCAGGGTCCCTGGGGATGGGGATGGCATGCGTGAACAGGGAAATTCGTGAGAAATTTAGTAAAGAGACTGTATACAAAGCTGCAGGTAGGATTCGGGAAGTCAGTTCGGGGGAAGCAGAATCCTGTGGCTAGCAACATCCGGGGACCATTCCCAAAGGTAATGGGACAGCTACGGGACCCCACAGAGGGTGGTGGCAATAAGAGGGCCCTGGACAGATGCTGGGGCCTCCAGGAGGGGGCACACTCCAGCCATAAGGACCCAGAAGGCAGGGGGAGTGCAGGGCAAATACTCTGGCTCCCTCTCCTCCTGCCCTCCAGACAGTCCCATCGGATGGACCCAGCTGACTCAGCATCCCACGGTGGGGAGCAGAGCAGAGCGGGCGCAGGCCCGGCTGAGGGGAGCAACAAATGACAGGTCCTCAACACAAACGCTCGGCGTCTACAACGCACTGGGAAGCAACAAATTGAGGGCATAGACATCAGGGAGTGTCTGGGGCACGGCAGATGGGGTGCGCACATCTCACATCAGAATGCCCAGCGTTGAGTCCTAGCTCCACTGCCAATTCCAACTTCCCGCTAACGCATCTCAGGGAGGCAGCAGGTGATGGCTCACGCGCGTGGGCCCCTGCCACTCACGTGGGAGACCTGGATGGATGCAGTTCCGGGTTCCTGGCTTTGACCAGGCCCAGCTGTTTGCGGGCATTTGGAGAGTGAACCAGCCAATGGAAGATCTCAGTCCATCTGTCTGTTTCGCCCTCTCTCTCTCTGTCTCTCTGCCTTTCAAATAAAATGAAAACAAATATTTTTCACACACACAAGAAAGAAATTAGGAATATTTGCACAACCAAATGGCTTGTTGGTTTTACAGATATTTTTAACTTGTTTCCTTTATAAAATGAACTTCTCTCTGCAATAAAAAAATAGTTTCATTTGTGGGAAATGCAGCTTTCTCAGAGGTAAGGGGTGCAAGCTGGGGTACACATGTCTCCCACACGTCTGCCCCCTCCCCGGGGACCTCCTTGTTGATGTCCACATCAGGGGAGGGCAGAGAGTGTCCAGGAAGGTCGCCGGGGAGGAAACAGACACTGCAAAGCTTCAGCAGCCGGCCAGCCAGGCTGCGCAGGCGCAGATGAGCTCGCGAAGGTGCTCATGCCGTTTGGCAGCTGCTAAGCTCACACAGGAGACACCAGCTTGGCCTCCCCGAGGGCTCCCCCCGGTATTCCCAGCGACCTTCACGTTGACCTACAATCTTAAAGTCCTGGCGCAGCAGGGGCTTTCCCAAAGACAGACACACAGATCTGTAGCCCCCGGGGACCTAGCCATGGGAAAGCATTTTCCAAGGAAAGTCTTCGGAAGATTTTCCTGCCCGCTGTAAGACATCATTGTACAGTCGCAGTTCACTGATTCTAACTTCACCAATAAGGCCAGGCCTCCGGCGTCCAGCTGGGAGTCTGCTCAGCTGCAAGGCCCAAGGCCACCCCTAGACCCCAGCCAGAGGGAGACAAATGGCTGGATCCACACGTGGCACGCCCTGCTCCACGCGTGGTCACAAAGACAAGAGCCACTGAATCGTGGCGCGCCTGCAGAGCCCACCCGGTGATGTCAACCCTCTCCTTTTTTAAATTTTTTTTGACTCTTTTCTTTTAATCCCCAACCCTTCCCTGCTCTTCTTGTCCTATGCTAGCAAGTCACTGTGCCTTTATGAACTTGAAAAACAGATCGGGAACTGGACTCCCAGACCTGGACCAGAAGAGCCCGTGGCGAGTGCGGAAGACAGTGTGTCTGAACGAAGCTGTTCGAACAACTGACCTTTTCAGATGGATCCCGGCACAATGTGTCTCTTGGCACCGTCTTGGGGGCCGCAGGGCCTGCTGCTGCCAAGCCTCCCGCTGACATCTCCTGGATCCTCCTCAAACACCCATTATGCCCAGACCGGTGGCCGTGGACTTGCAGGTTCGTTCTTAGTTCCTCAAGGCTGGCCGTGGTCTCCTCCTGTCTGCGGCTCTGCAGCTCTTATCTTCGCCATGTGTCACCATGGCCCCGCTCTGGTGAGAGTGTGCTGGGATGCGGGCATGGCTCAGAGCGTGCCTCCACTCCCTCCCGGCACACACGGACCGCCCCCCCGTGGAGCCAGGGTCTCCCTCCCAGGACTGGGGCCCAAGTTCGGCCAACCTGAGCTGGGCCGGGTTTCATCGCCCTCTCCAGCCCCGTTTCGTGCCCTCCCCCTGTTCCTGGAGAGCCAGCCTGCAAGGTGCACCCTAGCTCCCAGGGGGACCCTGCCCCCGCGAAGTTCCTTCCTCCACTGCATAGGCCTGGCTCATGGACGCCATTGTGGGACTGGCAGAAAGCATCTAGGAGATAGAGACGGGTGGCGTCCGCCTTGCTCTTCTGGACCGCTCGTTCTGGGGAGTCAGTGGCCATGCTGTGTGGGCGCTTAAGCAGCCCCAAGGGAGAGATCCACGGGGTGAAGAAGGAGGCCTCCTGCCCACAGCCGGCACAGACCCAGGCGAGCCCTCAGAGCACCACAGACCCAGCAGCCAGAGCGGCCACCTCTAAGCGACCCTGCTCCTGACCCAAGGAACTGATGGCTCGGCCATCCTGCCGCCTTAGGCTGCTATGTGTTGTGGCTGGATTGCGTCACAGCGTTAGACTATTAGTATGCTGGGGACGAAGGCCAAGGGTCAACCTCTGGGGCACACAGCAGAGTGGAGGAGGATGGAGAATGGACGTGGAGGATCGCACAGTGACCAAGTCAGTACACGTGCTCTCTTGGCCCATGACCATCCTGGGACTCTTTCTCTCTCTCTCTCTCTCTCTCTCTCTCTCTCTCTCTCTCTTTTGACAGGCAGAGTGGACAGTGAAAGAGAGAGACAGGGAGAAAGGTCTTCTTTTGCCGTTGGTTCACCCCGCAGTAGCCTCTGTGGCCGGCGCACCGCGCTGATCCAAAGCCAGGAGCCAGGTGCTTCTCTTGGTCTCCCATGGGGTGCAGGGCCCAAGTACTTGGGCCATCCTCCACTGCACTCCCGGGCCACAGCAGAGAGCTGGACTGGAAGAGGAGCAACTGGGACAGAATCCAGTGCCCCGACCAGGACTAGAACCAGGGGTGCCAGCACCGCAGGCGGAGGATTAGCCTATTGAGCCGCGGCGCTGGCCCTGGGACTCATTTTTCAAAAGGGGACATGGGGCCGGTGCTGTAGCGTAAAGCCGCCGCCTGCAGTGCCAGCATCTCATATGCTGGCACTGCAGCATATGAGATTGTCTCATCAGGAGCAAACAAGTCCCACCCCTCGCTGGTTGATTGGCACCACTGAGGTGTTAATGCCCACCCCCAGGCCAGAGAGCATCCTCTGCAGTGACACGCAGGAAGCCATGGGCATGCGCGGGCATGGGCTGAGGACTGGGGACACTGACTGCACCTGCCACCTCACTTACCTCCAAGTCTGCACTTCCTTGTCTGTAAGCCATGGATGAGGGGCAGGTATTGGCCCAGTGGTTGACACCAGCTATGACGCCTGTGCCCCACATCCCAGTGCCCGGGTTCAACCCCTGCCTTTGGCTCCTGCCTTTGGCTTCCTGCTACTAATGCAGACTCTGAGAGGCAGCAGTGACAGCCTGAGGGATTGGGTTCCTGCCATCCATGTGGGAGACTTGGATTGAATTCTAGGCTCCTGCCTTCGGCCCCAGCCCAGGCCTGGCTACTGCAGGCATTTGGGGAATGAACCAGTGGATGCAAGCAAGCTCTGCCTATCTGTCTCTCTGCCTGTTGCATGAAGCGGGGGCTGGGAGGAGAAGTAGAAGGAGGAGAGAAGCCTCCCCGTGGCCAGGGCGGCTGCACAGGCTGTCTTGGGTGACACGCACAGAGCACGAGACACATACTATAAATGTCATCACGTCAGCCTTTACTGTTGGCAGGAACACTCCTCTTGGCTACCTGAGAAGAGCTCCCTTCAAAGAGCACTGCCTCCCAGCCTCCCATCCACCCCAGCCTTCAGGGGCCACAGAGACCAGGGAAGGGGCCAGGAAGCCCTGTGCGGACCCAGGGACTCCTGCTAAGACGCACCCGCATCTCCTGCAGTGGGGCAGCTCTGCAGGGCCGAGAATGCTCCCAGCCTGCAGCCTTGTGGCTGCATAGACACTGCCCCCTGAGACCAGGAACAGGGCCTTCTTCCTCTCCCAGACACGAGGCCTGGGGGCGGGGCTGCCACCATACAACGGATGAAGGATGCCCCTGTTCCCAGGGCCTGCCTCCTGCTCTCAGCCCTTAGGCTGGGCCTTTCCCCAGCCTGCCTCGTGGGCCTCGCCAGCCTGAGCCAGGAGTGCACACAGCTGGGTCTGCAGCCACCACACCCTGACCCACATTTTTCTAAAAACCAACAAAACATCCAGCCAGCTACAGACTTCTCTGCACAGACAGCGACCATGGTGCTGGGCTCTCTGGAGCACCCAAGGACGCTGTCTCTCCCCCTGGACCTGTGCCCTCCCTCCCCGCTAGCTGACAGGCCCTGTCCCGCACGAGTAGAGGGGGAAGCACAGGCAGCCCTTGCTTCCCACCCTGTGCCAACACAACCTGCCCCACCCCCCCAGCAGCAGAGACCTGGCTTCTCCCCACTTGGTTTTGTGTTCCAAGTGCAGCCCGAGAAAAACTTTCTGGGGGCCGGAACTGCCCGGAACACTAGCAATGGTTCTGGGCAGCTGGCGAGAGCACTTAGGGAGTTGCTGTTTTCTTCTTTATACCTTTTGTATTTTCCACAGTGGGCACATTCTATTTTTTATTGTCAGAAAAACAAGAGCGCTTTTTAAGTAAGGAGTTTAAAACCTCGTTTGCTCGCCTCCCACGTTTTTGGTTGTGGTGTTTTGTTTTGTTTTGTTTTGTTTTTTTCACGGCCTCAGCTCGTTCCAGGGGTCAGTTCCTCCTTCTCTGTTCCGAGTCCTCTGCCTTCGACCCTTTTGCTTCTCTGCTTCCTGAGAACAGACGCTAACTGCAGTTGCTCCTGCCAGCCGCGGCAGTCCCCAGCCCACCCCCACCCCCATGTTTCTCGGTTCTCTTTCTCCCGGGGAATGTGTGTCATCAGAAGTTGTGCTCTCGCACCAAGCGATGGGCCTCCCATCCCTGCTGCCAGCACGCACGGGGAGGAACACAGCGGCATCATGAAGAAGCGTCAGACAGCCCCGTGCGCAGGGACGTTCGGCCGACTGCCTGCACTCTGCGCAGATGTCAATGTCGCGGAAGTCACAGAAAGCCCGAGGACCTGCTTGGGGGAGAGCAGAGAGACGGGCAAGCAGAGGCCGCAGGCGAGCCGGGATCTCCCTCTGCTGCCTAGGACATTCCTGGGGCCGCTGGCGACAAGGCAATCTGAATAGATCTGCAGATGAGCTAACTGCGCTGGAGAGAGGTCAGCTTCCCGGGGTTGGGTGACCGCACTGTGCTTACCTCGCTGCCTTTTCCTTTTTCAGAATTCTACACCGAGGCTCCGGAGGGTAAAGGACATCATATCTGCAGTTTCCTCTCCTGTGATTCAAAGACAGATACAGAAAGCAACCAGGCAAACGTGGTGAAATGCTAACATTTGGAGAATCTGGCTGAAGCGAAAAAAAAAAAAATTCTTTGTTCTCGTCTTGCATCTTTTTTTCTTGGTCCCCTTGATTTTTGACCTCCGGGTTAATGAAGTTGACACGACGGCTGGATTCCAGCACTGACTCCAGACTTGAACTGGGTCCTTGAACTGTGTCCTCACTCTGATTTGCCCCTGTACAGGCCCTGAGCCAAGAGTTTGGTGAATGATAAATTCACCAGCGAGGACGGTCTGCTGGTTTATTGAGCGCTTACTATACGTGTCAACCCTGGCACGGCCCTGAGTGCTCTACCTGCCACTCCACTCACTCCCCCCACCCCTGGTCGTATTTTGAGGTGGGTGTCACTGTCCCCAAGTTACAGGCACAGAAACTGAGCCTCTCAGAGATGAGCTCATTTCCCCAGGGTGCCAGCAGCAATTCAGCGGCGAGGCCAGAACTGATTCACAGATCTCTCAGGCTCCGCTGTCCTACACGAAGCAACCCTGACATCACCAAGGAGACTTCCCAGCAGCTGCTCTCTTGTAATGCGCCCTGTCTTGCTTCTCCTTTGCTGAAATGATTAAAAAAAAATGCTTCTGAAGCTCGGCTCCCTGGGCCAGTGAACGCCAGAGATATGCTGCTGTTGAGATTCAAATGACTCAAAAAGTAAGTAGGACTTAAAGACCAGCTCTTCGGCTGCACTAGCCGCATGTCAGTTCCTCGACAGCTGTGTGTGGCTTGCGGCTGTTGTTACTGGACCGTAGCCAGATCTGAACAGAGCAGATTGTACCACATTTCTAACATTGCAAAAAAGTTCAATGCGGGGGGCGGGGGGCGGGGGAGAGCAGGCAGCCTGGGATGCCCGCATCCTGTGTTGCAGGGCTTGGGTTGGAGTGCTGCCTCTCCCTCTGATCCAGGACGCACACCCTGGAGGAAGCAGGTTCCCTGTCACCCGCATGGAGACTCACATGGAGTTCCTGGTTCCAGGCTTTGGCCTGGCAGGCCCTCCGCTGCTGTAGGCAATTGGGGTATGAACCAGCAGATGAAAGATCAATCCATCTATCCACCTACCTACCTATCTATCTATCTAATCTCTATCTCTCTGTGCTCTGCCTTTCAAATAAATTTTAAAAAGCTCAGTGAGACAAAGCTATTCCAAAATATTTCACACACACTTCACTTCTCAACATAGCTTTCCATTCAAAGTCAATTTTTAAAAAAATAAAACTCCAGGAGCCAGCATTGTGTATAGCATAGAGAGGGTAAAGCTGCTGCCTGTGATGCTGGCATCCCATGTGGGCACCAGTTCATATCCTGGCTGCTCCACTTTTGATCCAGCTCCCTGCTAATGGCCTGGGAAAAGCAGTGGAGATGGTCCAAGTGTTTGGGACCCTGCTGCCTATGGGGGAGACAGGGAAGAGGCTCCTGGCTTTGGCCTGACCCAGTTCCAGCTGTTGCAGCCATCTAGGAGAGTGAACAAGCTGATGGAAGATCAATCTCTATGTCTCTTCCGCTGTAACTCTGCCTTTCAAATAAATAAATAACTCTCTCCTTTAAAATATTTATTTATTTTATTTGAAAGGCAGAGTTACGGAGAGGCAGAGAGAGAGAGAAGGGGGGTCTTCCATCCATTGGTTCACTCCCCATATGGCCCATCCAAAGCCAGGATCCAGGAATTTATTCTGGGTCTCCCACATTGGTGCAGGGGCCATAGCAAAGAGCCAGATCAGAAGTGAAGTAGCCAGGACTTGAACCCACACCCTTATGGGATGCTGGACCTGCACGCAGGGGCTTTACTTGTTATGACACAGCACTGGCCCCAATAAATAACTCTTAAAGAGAGAAATAAAACTTCAAATACACAAAATTGACTTCTCCGTGGTTCTAATTTGTCACATGTGAAACAAAAATGGTCATGGGAGCATCACGTGTTAGAGGGAGGCACCTACTGGTAGATCATGGAATTACAACCTAGCACAATCAGACACTGGAGTCTGCCATCTGTGGGGTTCCACAGGATCCACAAGGGTGGGAGAAACCACAATTGCAGGAAAGCGTCATGAATGAAGGGCCAGGAGGAGGAACTGGGCCAGAAAAACCCATCCAACACCAGTCTGAAGTCTCCAGCATCACAAGGCTTGTCACCAAGGAGATAAGAAACAGATGTTAGTAATTTGTATAAATAAGTAATTAATTGATTTTGACAATTCCAGAACTCTACCATGGGGCATTTTCTTGTCTTGTTGACTTTTAAAACTCAGCATAGAAAAGGGGTTTATTGTTTCAAACTTAAAAAAAAAAAAGGTTTATTTATTTAATTGAAAGGCAGGATACAGACCAGAGGAGAGAGAGAGAGATCTTCCATCCGCTGATTCACTCCCCAAATGGCTGCAACAACTGGGGCTGGGCCAGGCTGAAGCCAGGAGCCAGAAGCTTCTTCCAGGTCTCCCATGTGGATTCAGGGACCCAAGGACTTGGGCCATCCTCTGCTGTTTTTTCAGGCACGTTAGCAGGCAGCTGGATCAGAAGCAGAGCAGCCGGGACTCAAACCAGCGCCTATATGGGATGCCAGGGCTGCAGGAAGAAGCTTAACTTTCTATGAAACAGTGCTGGCCTCTGTTTCAAACTTAACTGACCCAAACTTGTTCAAGAATGAAGGGATGTCTGTACTTCGAACAGGAAGACATCAAGATGTTCCAGTCTCAGGTAGAGTGTGAAAAGACAGTCTTGTCTGTTCCTTTGGCCAAGGTGGCAGGAATGAAAGATGGCTTCCCTGACCAGGAAATGGACCAGACCCTGAATGACCCATAGATCCACTCAATTCTCAAACATTGATTTGGCTCCTGGTAGCCAGCTGGTGGGGGGTGGGCAGTGGGGGTAGGGGCAGGGATGAGAAGAGCTGGAGACCGCCTCTCTAAGTCCTGCATCCAAAGGACCACAGCGGGGGTGTGGTGCTGTGGCACAGCGGGTTAGGCCCCCCTGCCTGCAATACCAGCATCTTCTAGCAGAGGGCTGCTTCAAGTCCTCGCTGCTCCATTTCTGATGCAGCTCCCCACTGCATCACTGTCTTTGAAATCAATACAATCTTATTTATTTACTTTTTTAAAGATTTATTTATTTACCTGAAAGTCAGAGTTACACAGAGAGAGAAGGAGAGGCAGAGAGAGAGAGAGAGGTCTTCCATCCACTGGTTCACTCCCCAATTGGCCACAATGGCTGGAGCTGCACTGATTTGAAGCCAGGAGCCAGGAACTTCTTCCACTTCTCTCACGTGGGTGCAGGGGCCAAGCACTTGGGCCATCTTCCACTGCTTTCCCAGGCAATAGCAGAGAGCTGGATCGGAAGTGGAGCAGCTGGGACTTGAACTGGTGCCCATATGGGATGCCGACACTGCAGGTGGTGGCTTTATCTGCTACGCCACAGCGCTGGCCCCCAATACAATCTTTTTAAAGAAAAGTCTTATTTATTTCAAAGGTAGAATGAGAGAAAGAGAGAGACAGAGAGCGAGGGATCTCCCATCCACTGGTTCATTCCCCAAATGACCGAAACAGCTGGGGCTGGGCCAGGCAGAAGCCAAGAGCCAGGAACACAGTCTGGGTCTCCCACTCGGGTGCAGGGGCCCAAGTACTTGGGCCATCTTCCACTGCCTTTCCAGGTGCATTAGCAGGGAGCTGGACTGGAAGCGGAGCAGTCAGGACTTGAGCCGGCCCTCATATGGGGTACTGCCATTGCAGGTAGCAGCTTAACCTACAGCAGCACGGTGCCAGCCCCTGAGCCTCCTCTTAACATCTAGCATAAGTAAGGTGCTATTTCACAACACTTTACCTTTAGGTAAAGGTCTCAGATGCAAGTAGAAAAATATGCGCAAATGAACTGAACAGGCACCTCTCACAGAAGAGTACCCAAGTGGCCAAGGTAAGCTAATGAAAAACCAGCATCAATGGTGACAGGGAGATGCAAATTAAAACCACACTGTGCTGTCACTATGTACTCACCAGAATGGCTAAAATTAAACCTCAGAAAATACCAAGGACTGGTGGGGCTGGGTGGTGGGAGTATGAATTGGCACAAGCACTTTAGAGAACTCTTTTACAGTTTCTTTTAAAATTGGATGTACACTTACCCTGTGACCAAGCAGTTCTATTCCTGGGGATACACCCCCAAAAGATGAGTGCGTATGCACACCAAATTTCACGTGCAAGAATGTGCGTGGCAGCCAAATCGATTGCAGCTCATTGTTAACTGATTTCATCAATGTGCAAGCATCCCAAGACTGCACTGACCTAAACCTGGATGCACAGGCCAATCATTTGATGTGGTCTCTTGATGCTACTGGGAGACACGGTAAACACTGTGTTCATGAGGCTGCTGCCAGGGTACCATGACGGACTGGTTCAACTCTTTTCTCTATACAGTAGAAGGAGTACACTCTAGAATAAATCAGAGGTGCAGGCATTGTGGCAGAGGGCTAAGCCACTGCTTGTGACACCCACATCCCATATCCAAGTGCTGGTTCAAGTCCCAGCTACTCTGCTTTGGATCCAATTTCCTATTTTGTAAAATTTATTTTTATTTATTTGAAAGAGTTATATAGTGAGAGGCAGAGACAGACAGACAGACAGCCACACACACACACACAGAGCTTCCATCTGCTGGTTTACTCCCCAAGTGGCCACAATGGCCAGGGCTAAGCCAGGCTGAAGCTAGGAGCCAGGAGCTTCACTCAGGTCTCCCACATGGGTGGCAGGGAGCCAAGCACTTGAGCCATCTTCCACTGCTTTTTCCAGGCACATTAGCTGGGGAGCTGAATCAGAAGCAGTGTAGCTGGGACATGAACTGGCGCCCATGTGGGATGCCGACATTGCGGGTGGCAGCTTTACCCACTAGGCCACAGCGCCAGCCCTGACCCAACTTCCTATTCATGCTCGTAGGAAGGCACAACACAATAGCCGGTGACTTGGGCCCCTACCACTCATGTGGGAGATCTAGATGGAGCTCCTGGCTTCTGCCTTTGGCCTGCCCCAGCTCTGGATGTTGCAGCCATTTGGGAAGTAAACCAACAGATGCAAGCTCTCTCTCTCTCTCTCTCTCTGCTCTTCAAATTAATAAATATTTTTAAATGGATCTAGCATAATAAACACATAAATTAATAACATGGTCATTTGTTATCAAGCACTATGGACTGGAGATAATTTTATCCTATAGGGAGCTCAGTAAGTGTGCTTATACCAGCATTACACTATGATTTTATGATGGCTATGATGTCACCAGGCGATAGGAATTTTTCAGCTTCATTGTCATCTTCTGGGACCACTGTCACATATACCATCCATCTTTGACAGAAACATCATTCAGTGCCTTACGGTACAACTGAAACGCCCATCAACAGAAGCACAGATAAACAGATTATAGAGTGCAGCATAGCAAAAGAAATAAATTGTTCTGACTTGCAATGGCATGGATGAATCTCAGGAACACTGTACTGGGGCTGGGGCTGTGGCGTAGTGGTAAAGCCACCGCCTGCAGTGCGAGCATCCCATAAGGGCATGGGTTTGGCTCCCGGCTGCTCCACTTCCAATCCAGCTCTCTGCTGTGGCCTGGGAAAGCAGTAGAAAATGGCCCAAGTCCTTGGACCCCTGCACCCACATGGGAGACTCGAAAGAAGCTCCTGGCTCCTGGCTTCAGATTTGGTCCAGCTCTGACCACTGCAGCCATCTGGGGAGTGACCAGCAGATGGAAGACCACTGTCTCTCTTTTTGCCTCTGCCTCTCTGTAACTCTGCCTTTCAAATAAATAAATAAAATCAAAAAAAAAAAAGAAAAGAAAAGAAAAAAGAAACACAGTATTGAGTGGAAGAGCACATCCTGAATGACTGACATTACCTGAATTTCAACAACAGGCAAAACTCAGCTTCTGGGAGAGAGTCAGAGTAGGGCAATGGGAGGTAGTCATTGACTGTCAAAGGGCCTGAGGGAACTCGCTGGAATGATGGAAATGTCTCCTCCCTGACCTGGGTAGAGGCTACGTGGGTGTGTATAGAGGTAAACATTCACTCTGGGGGCCGGCGTTGTGCTGTAGTGGGTAAAGCCACTGCTTGTTACTCCAGCATCTCATATGGGCACTGGTTCCTGTCCTGGCTGCTCCACTTCCAGTTCAGCTCCCTGCTAATGGCCTGGAAAAAGCAGCAAAGATAGCCCAGTGTGTGGGCCCCGCCACCCACATGGGAGGCCTGGATGAAGCTCCTGGCTCCTAGCTTCAGCCTGGCCCAGCGCTGGCCATTGCCACCATTTGGGGAGTGAACCAGAGAGTGGACAATCTCTCTCTATCTCTCCCCCTCTCTCTGTAACTCTTTAAAATAAATAAATCTCCTAAAAAATTCACTCTCTTGTCAGCTCAAGACATGTGCTTTTTACTATATGTAAATTCTGCCTCAATTAGAGTAAGAACAAAAGTGTTGGGTGGCCACACTTGATATAAACGTGGCTGAAATTCAACAGCTTGCATAAATTATAGCAGTCATTTGGGAATCTGATATAATTTTGTAACAGCCTTAAAAAACGGTCACATTCCTGGAGTCCCTGGCATGAACTTCAATGCTTACAGCTCACTAGCACCGAAAGGGATGTGTCCGTTTCCAGCCAGGGGCCCTGCCCAGTGCTCTCCATGGATTCAGCCCCTGAGTGGTTCTTACACAACTCCCACAGCAGCGGGGCCAAGCGTGGGAGCAGCCAGCTGAGCCCAGCTCTCTCTAATGCCTGGTCTGCTCAGACCGCCCTGAAGAGGCCCTACGGACGCTGGAGGAAACTCAGGGCCCCAGCTTCACCGGGAATGCAGATTGGCTAGTGATGAAAGCTTAGATGAAGAACGTAGCCCTGGAGGCCCCATGTTTCAAACACATTCTCTCCTGCTGGCCTCTGCCAATGCAGCCCACAGACCAGGAGTCCCCAGCCCAGGGGCAAGTCAGAATCATGGGGGAGATTTGCTATTTTATTTTTTAAAGATTTATTTATTTATTTGAAAACCAGAGTTACAGATAGGGTTGGGGGGAGTGAGATCTTCATCTGCTGGTTCACTCCCCAAATGCCTGCAACAGCCAGAGCTGGGTTGGGCCGAAGCCAGGAGCCAGGAACTCTATCTACCAACTGGGTGCGGGGCCCAAGCACTTGGGCCATCTTCTGCTACTCTCCTAGGTGCATTAGCAGGGAGCTGGATGGGAAGTAGAGCAGCCGGAATTTCAACCGGCGCCCAAAAGGGATGCAGGCATTGCCATGCCACAGCACTGGCCCCATTTCAGAAGTCTGAAATATGGACTGCTGAACCCGCCTGACCCAGAGTGCAGTGCTGCTCAAAGTGTGTTCCCTGAAGCAGTGGCACCTTTGCCACAAAGGGTAACTTGTTAGAAATGTCACTGGAGAGAAGTCGTGGGGTTCTTGTCTTCACACAAGAAAGAATTCAGGGGTGAGACAGAGAGCATATTAACAAGGTATTATGGGACATAGGGCATCCATCAGAAGGGACAGGGGAGAGAGAGAGCGAGAGCGAGAGAAAGCGTGCGCAAACGCGCGCGAGCGCCCAGTCACTTGCACTGGGGGAAAGCAAGGTTCTGTGGTTGTTGGAGAGAATAAGCGGCTCCGCAGAAAGCAGAGAGCTGAGTGTGCTTTGTTTGGACAGAGGCTTATAAAGCAAAAGGGGTCCAGGTTTCTCCTCCACCTCTAGGACAAAGGGTTTGTGAGGGTAAATTAGCAAATTCCTCCCCAGCTTTGCTGGCAGAGGGGCTTCCCCTGGGGCATCTGGGAGGTTTTTATTGCCCCTTGTTATCAGGTCAGGTGACCCCTTTGGTCCAGAGGAGAGAATTCTCCTGGGAGCTTTCCTTGGGGTGGGGGGGGTGGGGGAATGGGACCCCTGGAAGGTGAGCAGGGTCTGGGCAGGACTTTGAATTGCAGATGCTGGGCTGCAGTAAATGTATCAGTTCCTCAGGCCCTTCCCACACACAGAGGCTAATCTCTAACTGCCTATCTAACAGAAATGCACGGTCCCAGGCCCTCCGCCACACCTACTGAATTCTAGGCCTTGCCCCAGCAATCCTCCTCCTGACGGTTCTAAACACCCCTGCCAGGGATTGCGATGGCCGCCCGAGTGCCAGGCCTACTGCTTTCTAATTAGAGGTTTCCAGGTGCTGCAGAGGCTGCTGCTCCAGGGACCGCACTTTGAGAACCACCTGTCCAGCTGCCCAATGGCTGGAGCCAAGCTCTGTGTGAGAGGGTGGGCAATTAAAAGCTACCCAGGTGAGTGAGTGTGATGCAGGTGAGAGTTAATTAGCGCCTCCCAGGCTTCCAGCATCTAATCCGGCAGGGGACCCCCCCTCCCTGCTCCCACACCTGGGCAGGAAGCCCACACAGGCGAGGCTGGCTGTCGCAGAACTCA